CTTGGGCAGGGGGTTTGACTAGATGACCTGCAAGTTCCCTTCAGACTCTGTTAATCTGTTACTTTATTGTGGGGTTAAAACAATCACTTAACAATTACCCAACTGTGATATTTCATCACTGCAGTGCTTTGCAGTTTCAATCATGAATTTGAACTCTGGCTCTGAAGTCCAACGATTTAAGACGTGCAATTAAAGTATTGCTCTATGCCATGTACCAAATGCTTCCCAACACAACTTATCAAATATAAATATTGTCAGCTATTAAATTCTCAGGCATGCTGGGTGCAAAGCCAAGTCTTTTATGGAATACTAGTCGATAACCCGGCATTGCCCGGGTATTTATTTATAGGGGGGAAATGTCCGGACCAAATGTAATTTCTAATGTTGGATTTTCCCCCTTGCTAGAGGGAGCCCCCTTGTGGAGACTGTGAAGCTGTTATCATGGCAACTCCACTGCGCTGTGCAGTAGAAGCCAGTCTGGCAGTCTTGCACAACAGGCTGTATCTTAACAGAACACACACTCTGGGGGTTGTTAGGGGTGTCTTATCCCCCACAGTATTTGTTTCTGGAGAGTAAGACATCGGCGTACCAACTTTCAGTTGAAATTGCTTGAGGCGTTCCAGAGTTATGCGCGCGCACACACACACACACACACACACACACACACACACACACACACAGCTATTTATATGTCAAGATCCCAATAAATGTAAAGTAAAAGATTCTCAGAAAAGCAAATAAAAGATTCTCAGAAAAGCAAATAAAAGATTCTCAGAATAGCAACTGAGAGCAAAGCCCGTAGGCACCTGTGAAGGGTCAGATTAAGATCTTTGCCCAAGTGGTTTTCCTCTCCCACCTTGGTGATTGCAGCAAAATCTGATTCAACCAGACACAAAGCTGGGAAAGCAAGAAGCATTTGCGGAATTTGACCCCCACAATTATGAATAAGTGAAAAGTCCATTGTTCAGCATTCGGAGTTTAAAAAAAAAACACCAACACCTACCTTGATCAAAATTAACTTGCAATTCATCATCCTGGTATTTCTGCCTCCCTCTCTAATTGTGACACGTAATTCCATCATGATTGATGGCACAGCAGAGGTCCTCTTTCATTTCGACCATGGTTTTATCATGGACATAGAATAATAGGGTTGGAAGGGACCAGTGGTGGGTTTCCAAAAATTTTGGAACCTCTTCTGTAGGTGTGGCCTGCTTTCCCGGTCCACTGGTGGAACTTCTTGTAACCGGTTCAGTAGATGTGACGAACCGGTTCTACCGAATAGGTGCGAACTGGTAGGAACCCACCTCTGGTCTAGTTTAATGAAAAGAAGGACTAGGGGAGACATGATAGCAGTCTTCCAATATCTCAGGGGCTGCCACAAAGAAGAGGGAGTCAAGCTATTCCCCAAAGCACCTGAGGGTAGAACAAGAAGCAATGGGTGGAAACTAATCAAGGAGAGAAGCAACTTAGAACTAAGNTTTTTCACATGCCAAACCAGTAGTAATGGACCTGGCTACCTGAGAGACCGCCTCCTGCCATTCACCTCCCAATGGCCAATAAGATCACACAGGTTGGGCCTCCTCCGGGTGCCGTCGACCGGACAATGCCGGCTGGCGGCTCCCCGAGGGAGGGCCTTCTCTGTAGCTGCGCTGACCTTATGGAATGAGCTACCCGCAGAGATCCGGGCCCTTACCTCTCTCCCGGCCTTCCGTAAAGCAACCAAGACCTGGCTGTTCCGGCAGGCCTGGGGCTGTTGATTGAAATCCAGCCCCACTTGATTGAATGGATGATGTCTTATTTTAATAATTGTATTTTTAATATTTGTATGTTTTACTTTTGTTGTGAGCTGCCCAGAGTCCCTAGGGAATGGGCGGCATACAAGTTGCAAAGTTGCAAAAAAGAAACCCACCCCTGGGCAGCACCTCCACCTGGATTTCAGAGGACGAAACGTCTCAGCTAGGTGATGTTGCCACCCAACTTGATATGATGACCCAAGATCTAAGAAGGTCTCGAACATCTCAGGTCTGCGTTGAGAGTAAGAGAATGAATGAAGAAGGCCTTATCCAAGGCTGAATGGTGGAAGTGGACAACTCGAGTCAGTCTTAAGATTCAGAAGAGCCCACTTTGCGAACATATCCATTTGTGACATTCACTTTGGAATTATGACAAATCCTAGGACAGACATAAACACACACAATTGTGAGTTCCTTCTGCAAGCTTATGACCATGAAAAATTGCTCCGGCCTTGGGGATCCCATGCAGACCTGAAGCCTGTGAAATGACCCTCACTCTGTCAAGGAGTAGTCATCTCAAATGATCTAAGCCCCAGAGCTCACTGTAACAGCATTGCCAAAAAGGCATTAAGAGTTATTAACCTAATTTTGCAAAGCTTCTTCTCCAACAACATTGCACTGCTAACCGGGGCATACAAAACCTTTGCCAGACCAATTCTCGAATACAGCTCGTCTTCCTGGAATCCACCCTGTATGACAGACATTAATACAATTGAGCGAGTCCAGAGCAGAGGTGGGTTGCTGCTGGTTCGGTCTGGTTTGGCCGAACTGGTAGTGCCCTGGAGCAGCTGAGAGCGAACCAGTACGGTGGCTCTTTTGGCCCACCTCTACCGCCCACCACCCGCGCTCTATACCTGTTTTTATGGCAAAAGGCAAATTGCTCATGTGTGCACACCGGGCAGTGCCTGCGCGAGCCCCAGAAACCAGCTGGTTATCACAGGGGTGGTGCAATCTGCACGCCCGTGCAGCGTGAGTTAGGTGCAGGCACGAACGGAACACGCACACACACAATCAGCAAACCAGTAGTGAAGGTAAGGGAAACCCAGCACTGGTCCAGGGGTCTTTCACGAGAAGAGTCCTCCACTCCTCTGCTCACAACCGAATCCCTTATGTCGCTAGGCTTGAAATTTTGGGCTTGGACAATCTGGAACTATGCCCGCCTATGGTCTGACCTTAAAATTGTCTACAACGTCCTTCCTGTCAATGACCACTTCAACCTCAATAAAACACAGGCAAACAATAGTCACAAACTCAAGGTAAAACCGCTCCAAACTCGATTGCAGAAAATACGACTTCAGCAACAGAGGAGTCAACGCCTGGAATGCTCAACCTGACTCTGTTGTTACATCCTCAAACCCCCATAGCTTCAACCTTGAACTTTCTATCGTGGACCTCGCCCCATTCGTAAGAGGTCCATAAAGGGTTTGTGCATAAGCGCACCAGCCTACCGTATATGTTACGTATATGTTCATACCTGCTTATACTTATATGTTTATATGTTACATTTGTACTTATTTTCTCATGCATGCTTGACAAACCAAAATAAATACATAAAAATAAAAAAATTTCAGATGACAGATGAACAGAGTTGGAAGGGACCTTGTAGGTCATCCAGNAACTACTCAAAACAAACTACTCAAAATTTCCGCTACCGGTTCTCTGAACTACTCAAAATTTCCTCTACCGGTTCTCCAGGACCTGTCCGAACCTCCTAGATTTCATCCCTGATCTGCGTCCAACTTCCAAACTCACCGGAAGCCTCCTCTGCTTGGGAGAACCTTCTTAGCTTCATCTTGACATTCCCTCCTTCTTTCCCAGATCTCCAGGTAGTCCTTCCCATTCTCCACTGCCTCTACAAGGGAAGGGGAAAATACTGCCTTCTTGTGTTCCCATTTTTTCTTCTCCCCCAGACTATTCTCCTGATCTCCTTGGAATGGGGGGTTGCTGATGTGTCCATCATCTAGGCATGCAGCGGTGGGTTGCACATTTTGTTATCACTGGTTCGGCGGGGGTGCATGCTGCCTTGTGTGCATATACCCAGCCTTCTGCAAATGCGCTTTGCTTGCATGCGCCTTCCACACATGTGCCCGGCCTCAAAAACATGCCTAAATAGGATTTATTCGGGTGAACTGGTCCAAACTGGCTGAATACCACCTCTGTAGGAGTTACATGACAGCAGTCTTCCAATGTTTGAGTGGCTGCCACAAAGAAGAGAGGGCTAGTCTATTCCTTAAAACACCTGAAGGAGCAATAAGAAGCTAATGGACAGAAACTAATCAAGGAGAGAAGCAACCTAGAAATAAGGAGAAATGTCCTGGCGGTGAGGACAATTAAGCAGTGGAACAACTTGCCTCCAGAAGTTGTGAGTGCTCCAACACTGGAAGTTTTTAAGAAGAGATTGGTCAACCCTTTGTCTGTCATGGTATATAAGGTCTCCTGCTTGAGCAGGGGGTTGGATTAGAAGACCTCCAAGGTCCCTTCCAGCTGTGTCATTTGTTGTTTTCCAACTTTCCAACACAAACACACCTTTCCTTTGCAATGTCTTGATCCCGCTGAGTCTCCCTTCTGTACCTGCCCACCACTCTCTTCCTCCCTGACCCCTGGTTTCAGTGATGGCTTTGCCAGGTCTCTTGGCCTGAGATACCTTCTGGTGTCACATCTGCTTTCTCTTTTGGTCACCTAAACATCCAGGTGTTACACTTATTTGGGCCCTGTGCTACTTACTTACTTTCTTCTTCTCTCTTTTCTCTCAATTTCTGGGAATTGAAGTCCTTAAGTCTTAGAGGTTGCCAAGGACGGAACACACCGGCTTTCGGTCAAAAGCAAATCACTCCTCTCTCTTCTGCAACAAATAACTAAACTCCTGCTTGTCCTAACACTCATTAACAAGGATTCTTATCTTCCAGAAAGATCGTGATGTAGGTGCAGCTGGCCATGCTCTTTAGGAGAGTGGGCTGAAGATCTTTGTGGGAGAAGGCTAAAACTATTTTCTTAGATCATAAAGTCATACTGAAAATATGCTTTAGGAATAAGCCGCCACAGATTAGGACAGGAAGAAGCAGGAGTGAGTTGCTACAGGTTCGCCCGAGTTTGGAAGAACCTGTATCTAACGTTATGGGCGGTTTGGCGAACCTCTAAATCCCTGTCTTACCCTGACCCTCCCATCCATCCCACCCCTCCCAGGAGTCTCCATGCAGCCCGTTGTGGATGCGAGGTAAGTGCAGGGCTCTCATAGAGGTTCAGGGAGGAGGAAAATGGGCCTCCCGGAAGGCTGGAAACGGGTCTCCCTCCAGAGTCTGGGGGAGGCAGTTTCTACCCTCCCAGAGGCTCAAGGAAAGCCTCCGGAGCCTGGGGAAGGCGAAAACAGCCCCATTGCCATTGTGCAGGAGACCGACTAGGCCACACTCCCACCCAGCAACTGGCCAGAGAACCCGTTGCTGAAATTTTTGAAGCCCAGCCCAGCCCTGGGAAGAACAGGACAGTAGGGAAGTGAAAAGAGAGAGAGAGGGAGGGAGGGAGGGAGAGAGGGAGGGAGAGAGAGAGAGGGGGGGAGGAGAATGCTCTTTGGGGGTCAACCTGTTCTCCAAAGCATCTGAAGGCAGGACAAGAATTCACGGATGGAAGCTTATCAAAGAGAGAAGAACTTAAGGACAAATTTCCTGACAGTGAGAACAATTAATCAGTGGAACGGCTTGCCTCCAGAAGCTGTGAGTGCTCCATCACTGAAGGCTTTTAAGAAGAGAGTGGCCACTTGTCCAGAATTATATAAGATCTCCTGCCTGAGGCTTGACTGGAAGACCTCCAAAGTCTCTTCCAACTGTGTTATTCCGACTAGAACGTGGTTCTCGTTTTAGTCTTGAAGAAGCATCCCGTATTCAGCAGAGAAGATGAATGGGACAGCACCAGAGGTAGGTTTCTACCGGTACGGTACGGTTCGGCCAAATAGGTAGAAACTCTAGCGGACACATGACCGTACCAGCTCTATCCTCGGTGGTGCCATCTTGATTTTCTGTTCTGCGCATGCGCAGAACAACCTCCACTGAAAAAAATGTTATTGTTTTTTCCTTTTTTAATGTTGTGCGCATGCGCAGGCTGTTTTTAGTGCAAATGCGCACGCACGCGCAAATTTTTTTTCACATGCCAAACCAGTAGTAATGGACCTGGCTACCTGAGAGACCGCCTCCTGCCATTCACCTCCCAANTGATAGATAGATAGATAGATAGATAGATAGATAGATAGATAGATAGATAGATAGATAGATAGATAGATAGATAGATAGATAGATAGATAGAGGGACGTAACTAAAGAATGCTTGAAGGATATTGAAAAGTTAAATGGTAAAATTGTCTTGCTCGTTTAAAACATTTGCATGTAGCTGCCCATCTTATGCTAAATTCCGGGCGGTTCCCAATCAAAGTCAACATGAAAGTTCATGTTTTCAGTCAACAGTAATACATCTTGTCAAAACAACTATTTGAACATTCGGCATGTTTGGTCCGGAGCTAAGACAAACTGTCACCAGGAACAAACACAGGGGAACTTCAAGAGTCGTGCCACATTAAAGAACAAATAAACCTATGATTTACATTCCCAGAGGAGCTTGTGGCCCTGACATGGAAATGAGTAAGCACCGCAGATGCTAAAAAGCAAAGAGGTCTATGAAGCGAGGACCAAAAAGATGAAAATCCTTCCCTATCGGCTCCAACTTAATAAAAGAAACCTGCAAATCTGATTGTATTATACCTCATTCTGCTTTTTCTTATACTCCGGTGGATTTAAGAGATGATCTGCTTGAGCCGTTTCTGTTTGTTATCTCGGGGTTCCAGATTAAGAAAACATTTCAACTCCTTTTGTCTGAAGGACAAACAGTTTCTGCCTATTTCTGTCGGCATCATATTCCTGATTCTCGATAGTTTCCCACAGATTCCGGGTCCTCACATCCACATATCTGGATGTCACAGAAGTAGGAAAAAGTATTGGGTCTCTGCAAGACCTCTGGCCAAGCTACACCATAGCAAGATTTGAATATACTGTACATTGATATAGAGTGTTTCAGCAACCTTAAACACTCAAAAGAGCCACAAAGGTCCTAACCGGAAGCCCCCCGTTCAATTCTGGAGCTGTCCAGAAGTCCAGTACCCCCACCATAGAGTCTCCTCCTCACGCAGCGTACTTTTTACTCTACCTGAAAGCCCTATCAATTGTGGAGCCCACCAGCGACGGAGCCACAGCGGAGGGATGAAAGAGCCACATGCGGCTCCAGAGCCACAGGTTGCTGACCCCTGATGTGGAAGATCCTAACTCTTGCGTTACTTCAAGCAGATTGAGAAGGTGTATTGTTAACACCGACTACTAATAGGAGCAGCAATGGAGGATGGAGCTGCATGACATGTAACTGCAGACGAAGCCATAAATGAGGAATAAAAGAATGACAGTCGGAAGGGAGCTTGGAGGTCTGCTAGTCCAACCCTCTGCTCAAGCAGGAGGTATACCATTTCAGACAAATGGTCCTCTAATCTCTTCTTAAAAACCTCCAGTGATGGATCTCCCACAACTGGAGGCAAGTTGTTCCACGGATCAATTGTTCTAACTACAGGTAATCCTTAACAATACAGGTAGTCCTCAACGTATGATCATAACTGAGTCCAAAACTTCTGTTGTTAAATGAAACATTTGTTAAGTGAGCTTTGCCCATTTATGACCATTCTTGCCACAGTTGTTAACTGAATCATTGCAGTTGATAAATGAGCAATTAGAACGGTTGCAGGAACTGGGTGTGTCTAGTTTAATGAAAAGAAGGACTAGGGGAGACATGATAGCAGTCTTCCAATATCTCAGGGGTTGCCACAGAGAAGATTTGGGAGTCAAACTATTCTCCAAGGCACCTGAGGGTAGAACAAGAAGCAATAGGTGGAAACTAATCAAGGAGAAAAGCAACTTAGAACTAAATCGAAACTTTTTGACAGAACAATTAATCAATGGAATGACTTACCGCCAGAGGTTGTGGGTGCTCCAGCA